ACTGGTGGTGGTGGAGGGGAACCCCGTTACCTGTAAAGCACTTTGAGCAGAGTGTCCAGGAAAGCGCTATATTAATGTAAGGAATTATTATTAAGGTTAAAAGCTGCAGATAAGAGTGGTGTGACTCAGAGGGGAAGGGGTTAAGCTCTGTTTTTGACCCTGGGCTCATAGAGCCCACCTGACTGCTCAAATCGAGTGGGTTAAATTGTCATGAAAATGATCTGGTTTCGAACTCTTATGTAACACACACCAAAAATGTGAGTGACTGCAGGATCGATTTCTGCTCTCCCAGGCCTTAGTGGGATTAAAAGGGCCACTAGAACAGAAATCTATCAATTTAACGAAGAAAAAATTAAACCAAGTAGGGGATTTTGCTCATTTTGAAACATATTTGTTTCCTTCTCTTGAACAATTGATGGCAGCGTGAGGAATTTAAACCGCAGTTTAGGGAAAACCAGAGGTATACGCCACCCAGGAAAAAGTGATGGGCTGCTTTTCTGGCTCATACGATCAGTCAGTTTAAACATGTCTGCTGCCTATTATTGTAATTAGGACAGACTGGTGAGCTTGATCCAAATATCAGCGAAAAATAATGTTTGATTGTCGGGCAACATCTTTGAAATGGAAATGCAACACCACTATAGAATGATAAACTTTTAAGGTTCTCTAACATACTGTACATGGTGAATACACTTCTCGAACAAAATAATAGCCTTAAATTGTGAAACGTGTTCACATGTGACATGTCCGGGTATTCGGCATTCTCTCAGACACAACCAGACCTTTTTTTCAAACGTTTTTCAAGCAGTGTAACAACTGTGTTGAAAAATCTTAAATCTTAAAGTTCCTGTTTAGAAAAATGAAATGATTGTTTACTGAAAACAACACAGTGTTTTTCTTATAGCTATTATCCTGTAACAAAAACATATGACATCTAGCTATAGTTCTTTACTGGCTCAGTGTGTGTATATATTTTTTTTCACTTGGCAAAATAATTTGGGGAACATTTCTCTGTTAAATGGATTTTGAGTGTGTAACGTCCATAAACATTGGGCAGTGCAAACAGTAGCAGCCCAAAAGGTTTTTTTATTTTGAAATATAAGCTGATGTCTGAATCCATAGTCCTGTCCGGTTCATTAGTCTGATGGCAGTGTTGTGGTAATTACCAGTAGATCGCTCCCTGAACTGGCTCCTAATAATTTTCAAACACCTCCTAAAGCTCAGCTTCGCTCAGGGTGGGTACATTTAATTGACTTGGAAGACGCTGAAAAACCGCCTCTGTGCCTTTATGTAGAGAGTCTTAAAGGACAGGCCCACAAACAGGAGAGTTCCCTGACTGTGAGTGTACAAAGCTTGGGCGGTTGACCTCCTCACAGTGGATTCCCTTTCTTGTTTGTAAATGTTAGGCTTCAAAGGCAGCTCGCAGTTTTGAAAGAGACCAGTTATGGCACTACAGAGAGGCACCCCCTTCACCGTCTGCCGACGCACTGACAAACCACACCAAGTAAACAAGTTCCCTTTAACCCCACAGAGGGGCTTCGGCCTCTGTCTTAGCGCTGGAGAAACTCTTATTCCCCTTTGACGGGGCCTTAAATCTCTCGGTGGGTCATGAGTGTACGGAGCTAGCCAAGGAATCTGTGGAATACATTGTTTTACTGCAGCATACTCTTTAAAAAAACATTGCCCATGTTGATGCCTGCCATTATTTAAATGTGTTCATTAAGAACACTAAAATGTTTATGGTACACAGAGACTAGCTTTATTGTGACATTTTCCACTGGTTTTATGTCCTGACACTAAACCACCTGACAGTCAAAAATTTCACAATGTATTACAGAACTGTCCTATTTTAATGGCTTAATGGGTGCAGTACCAGACTTGCCTCGTGCTAAAAAGTAGCTGGCCGTGAGTATAAGTCCTCAAAACCCTGTCCTTGAGCTAACATAAGAGGTAAAATATTTGGGCAAACAAATCTGGCCCCAAACCTATTTTTAACTAACAAGGAGCACTGTGAATGATCACATTTAACTTTTGGTGGAAAGCTTTCGGGATGGTATCTATTTAAAACCTTGTCGTTCACACAGGAATCTTTGATGTCAGTCCACTCATACTGTACATGTGTTTGTACCACCTGGCCTGTTCGCTTGGATACATCCTTCTTGGGGAATATCCTTTCTGCTTGACAGTTGGCAGGAGCTCTGAGAATCAGGGAAGGAGCAGTACTTGATCACTGGAAAGACACGGGCAGAAGAGGATTTTTGGATGGGGAGTTTTCCTCGCTCCCTAGGTCAAGAGACAGAGCGTGGTACTCTCATCCTTTTACAGCCTTTTCAGTCAAAATGCACCATGGATCCCCTTTGATATCTATCAGCAACATGAGCTTTGATCGCTCCAAATTCAATCAAGTCTCCACTCAGGCCCTAATTTGCCCGAACCCCTCTGCCACCATGGATATATTACAATAATAAGCGTTTTAGAGCAATATCCGGCCCAGGAAAGCAAAGTCTAATGTCTGAATTTGAATTTTATTAGAGAGAAATAAAGCTCTCTGGTCCTGACTTGCTCCTCAGCATTAATGGCATTTTGAGAGCAAGGAAAATGATTCCAAACTACCCTCTCCGTGCTATAATTGAGTTCAGGCACTTGACTTCTCTCACAAGAAAAGAGAAAGCCCTTTTTTCTCCAATGCGCTACATCTTGGCTTCTTTAAAGCACCACTTTTTTTTTTACCATGGTTGCATTGGTTCCTGCTAGCAATTATTTTTTCTATTGCTCGTTCTCAACAAAGTTTTGGCCTCCTAGGAAAATATTCACCCTTTCATCTCCACTTTTGTATAGATTTACTAAATTAGGCAGCATGGTGTCATGGTGAAGAATGCTGCAACATTTCTGTCTGGGAAGCCTTGTGTGTGGAGTTTGCATGTACACCCGGATTTTGTCCAGGTTTTCTCCTACCTCCCAGAGATATGCTGATTAGGTTTATTGGCATTTCTAAACTGTTCTTGTGTGTCTGTGTTCTACAACTGGGATCCCACTTTGGTCTTTATCCTTCTGGGATAGGCTCTGGAATGCTGGAAATTAGCAACTGTTTCATATTGGACAGATGATCCATTAAATTGACAAGATAAGGTAATTATATAATAACAATAATAGCGATGACCAAAATGACCTCCAATAGTGTGGTATTTTGTTAGATAGAAGAAAATCAAGCGCTTGGCTATAGCAGCATATTTGATATTTGATTAAGATGGCCTTTCATATTTTCAACTCAGTTTTTCAGAAATTCAGAAATTCTAAAGGAAAATGCAACACATTCATTTGTTTGTAGAGAGCTATGATCTAAGAGCACAGTTGTGGGTGGCCTTGTTGATCATTTTAACTACAATACAACAAATAAGTCTTGATAATATAGTGTCCAAATGTAAAATGTCAAAAATAGTAACAACGAAAAAAAAACTGCCCCAGCTGAGAATGATTATTTATTGATGTGCAGACCATTTTACAATTTTGTCAATCAGGTCATATATGTATTTGCAGTGGTTGTATCAAATCCATTTGGAAGATTACTGGGCTAGGAAAAACAAGAAAAGTGCTTATAGAGCAAAGTGCATAGTTTTCCTATTTTTCTCTGTATAAAATATTTAATGGTGTTCATCGGGCTTTGCTAGAATGCTCTTGTCTGACAATGTTTGGACAAACAGTGGCTTTTGCACAGATATGAAAAAAGCATCCTTTTTAAATATTGATTAAGCAGCTTTTGAAATGACTCACCCTTATTAGTCTTCTTATTCGCGGAGTGCTACAGTATATTGCAGTTTGCGTAGATTGAGGAATGTGCTCTAAAGATAGAAAAGCACTGTGTGCCAAGTCATTGGCATGGTGGACACACTGCTTTGTAAGCTCAGTGAGGTTTATTGAGGTCTGTAGCTATAGTCAGCAATTTCACAGCAAAACAGGAATACCGCCCTGAGACCAGACTATAAATCCTCTTTAGAGGCTATAAAAACCAGAAGGTTGGAAACAAATCGGGGAACCTTTCAAAGTGTCCAAGTCTTTACCTTTTCAAAACAACCTGTTGCTTTTATCATGGGGTTGGTTGATGTGATCTCTTCACCTGAGCCTACAAATGCCACATTTAAGAAATGGACTAAGGAATCTTGCGATAGGATAGGGGGATCATACTTTTCAACCTCCCCAGTTAAAGTCTAGAGTGCATGGAAGGACAATCCATGGTTAATAAGCCAACAGAACAATAGAACAGTTCTTTGCACTCTTGGGGGGATATTCAAGTTTTCGGTGGAGTTTGTCAATCAGGTCTTCCAATGTTTTATGAGCCTGGAAAAGGCAGACGATCCCAAGATGTCTTATGAGAGATGCTATGGGAGTAAAGCCTCTGGTACTGCTTCTTCCTTCAGTCTTCTCCCTGTGTTCTGGAAGTGGTTGCATCCTTATTCTTGGTCAAGACTTTGCACTCTGCTGAGGGTGCCTGCTCCCTGCTCCCACTATTCTTGTCTCACTTGACTGTGATCTCCAATGCTCACATGAACGTCTGGCTGCCAAGTGTGAAGTATCAGGGTTGAGTGTTCATGAGTCCCCTGGAGTTGACTGGAACAGCAACTGGTGGATGTGAGGTAGGCTGCTGGACTGGTATAGCCAGCGGTGTTGTGGACCCTGCGCTGGTCTGTCTGAAGCAGGAGTTGTGTTCTCTAATGAAGCCCTCAGTCTGCAGATTGATCTTCATTCCTTTCCTCACCAATGGCTCACCAAATAAATCTGCAGAAATGAGCTTTCTTCAGAGAGCTGTGGGGTTTAATCTTAATGATAAGGTGAAAAGCTAAGTTATATGGGAGATCATTGGAGTAGAGATGCTACTTCTCTGGATTGAAAGGAATCTCTATGGTGGCATATTAATGGATTGTTTTGGACTTACAGTATCTTTCAGAATTCATTTTCTTGCAATTATGCATTTTCTTCTGGAAAACTGGAAAAACATTATCTTCTGGGAGAGCTCTTAAGATTAATGACATCCCTCTATTTGTGAGTAGTTCAATTAACCTTTCTTCAAACCAACATTTTTTTTATTTCTGAAGCATTCATAAGTATTAATAAGTACTACAGCATGTTCAGTTTTTTTTTTGTCCTTCAACTCTAAGCGACACTTCAAATTGCCGGGTAGCATTGTGGGAAACCCTTGCAAGTCCTCCTAGGAACCAGAGTTCACAGACCGGTCAGCCAGGTGGAGGATGAAAGCACAGAAGCACACCGGCACAGTGGAATTGCGAGAAACCGGCGCTGGTACAGCCATTTCCTGGTTTCCTGAAACACACAGGCTTTCCTCTCCTACACGTTTGAACCACCCGATTTGCTGTGCACCCCCAACCCTTGAACATCCGATGTTTCTTAATTCCTCTGGTGTCGCTGTCTCTCTCTCTGGGGAGCAGAGCCTCCTCTCTCAGCCTCAGTGATCTCTGTATTACTTGGATCAGTGGACTACATTCCTCTACCCCCCTGCCCACTGCTGCCTGCAGTGTGAAGCCAGCAGAGAGAGAGCCGAGGAAAGCCCCTTGCACGTCTGTCGTTTTTCTTTCTCTCCCTCTAGCCCCCCCCTCCACCTCCTACTGCGTTTCCTCAAGTTCTCTCGCTCGCTCGCTCGCTGTTGGGATTCCAGACACTTACTCTGCTTTTCTCTCCTCCCCTCTCTCCCTGTCCCTGTAGGCTGTTAAAAATGGGGTATTCTCGTATTCTCGTGAAGGCCTGGGGCTCTCCATCAATGCTGTGCCACACAAACCTCATTTCTGCATGACGGAGCACAACTATTACATTCATCTTTTACTCTCTGTGCAAACCCCCCCAACCCCCCACATCCTCTACAGTATAGAAATAGCTGATGGATGTCCCTTCCTCTCCCTCTCCCCCTGTCCCTTCCCGTTCTTTTCTGGTTCTGTGTGCTGGAGGGATGCGAGCAGTGTGCTTCTGCAGCAGAGCGCGGTGGCCATCTGCTCGCGGGCTGTGCCAGTTGCACGGTTTTTGATGGCAGCTGGGAGTCAGCGCTGGCACTGCCAGATGCCCAAGCACTAATAAAGGTGCGAATGCAAATGCGACAGCACTTGGGGACCCCACGGCTCTCTCGGTCCAAAACCATCAGAAGTTAAAAAGTCTCCACTGCTCAAAGTCAGGATTCACTTCCCACTGAGTGTTTTGACAATCAATTACTTATAAACACCGTCTTTGCAGGGGTGGTTTTTGTTATTCCTCCACAGTGTATTTGCATATACTCCATTGCACTACTCTCCCAGAATGCTTTTCTTCGGCGTCAAGGCTCACCCCACCACATATGGGTACCGAATGCTGGGCATCATCGTTGTTAATGATCAGACGACAAGAAAGCAGCGCTACCATTTTCCATTCATTACAGTTCTTTTTTATTCCAGTGCTACTAGATATGCATGGCGTGGCAGTGCATATAAAACAGTAATTATACATTTCATTTGTTTTCCTGTTAAAAAAATTATAAATCATCTGATGTCACTACTGAGAAATAATATTGTCTAATAGATACATACTTGCATCTTTTTCAATGTATTTTTTTGTTTTATTTATTATCATAGTATTATTTTTTACATTACGGTGACTTTTGGCTATTACAGGAGAATATGGATTCTGTTGTAAGAATCTAAATGCTGGGGCAAAGCTGGGGGTGGGGCAGGAGGTACACAAATTGAGCCGTATGTGGGCTCTGTTTGGGGAGTTTAAATGGGATTGGGGGTGACACCCTAAGTGTTGTTGTGGGGCTTTTGAAACTCTGGCATATAGCAAAGGTGGGGGTGGAGTGTTTGTGATGGGGGGTCACTCAGCTCTGATTGGCTTTTACTCTCCTGTAGACACATCTGCCCTGTGATACCCTCACTGAGGGCATACTCACAGAGTCCACTGGCCACTGCCTGCCACAGGACCTTTCCTGCAATGTGAAAATGTACACAGTTACCATTTCAAACTCCCACAGCACACATCTCATCTTGCACGAGAGCTCTCTGCTTGCCGATGGCTTTCAGCTGCCTCTGAAACTCAGCTTTTCTGCACGTGTTTGGAAACAAATCCCCCCTTTCTCGTTGAAGAGAAAAAAAGGGCTTAAACATTATCCTATCAATTATGGATGTCATAGAAGGTTTTGTACTTTTTTTTTGTTTCGTCATTTATAACAAATGAGCAAAATAACCGCAGATCTTGTCGTGGACTATCAAATTCTGTCCGGTTTGAACAATTTAAGGGATCCAAAATGCCCACATTGGTGATAATCTTCCGTCTTATTCAGTATGGACATCCACAGATCTCAGCTCCCAAAAAGCCAGGTTTCATTTCCCGGGTCAATTTATACAAATCTCCACGTGGCCTCGATGTTCCACATTCACCAACTTGACACTCACAGTGGAGTAGGAAATAGTATAATGTATAGTTTGTTAGTTTGGAATATGGAATCTATAGCCTTTTTGCTAACTGCAGAGTCCACCAGATCTAAACTGATGTCATATTAACCAAAAATGTTACTTTAATTCTAAAGATTTCAGACCCAAGCTTAGAAATGGTATTGGAAGCAATGTTTCATATGTCAGCTCAAAACTGAAGCTTTTTCCGATCACATGAAGAAGTTCTGCCTTTTAAATGGTTTTGCTGCAGTATACTGTATACAGTTCAAAGGTGTAATGTTATGCACTCTGCCCAGATCAGTCACTGTGCACTTTTAAGTGTAGGCACATATGAGTGTGCGTGTTTAGTATAGATAGAGGACAAAAGTCATTGCTATGCTGCATCTCAAGTAATGGAACATCCTGCCCAAAATGGCTACACTTCCTGTCCAGATAAAAAGAATATCAAATCTGCTCTAGCTCCAGCATAGACCTTTCTGTGAAGGAATAATGTGGTTAGACACAGAATGACAGCTGAGCTTTTTTAACATGTTACGCACCAAAGGTGCAAACATAAAAGCAAGACGGTTTGTTCTGCCAGTCTTGTGAATGTAGACCCATACTTTCCTGTTTCCTGAAAGCAACACCACTTTAGAATTTCAGTATCTTATTTGCTACTGAGACCTGTTGTTTAGAAATGGTGGTAAGATACAGTACCTTTATATAATGTCTACTGCATCTTCCAAGTACATCTATAATTACAATATGTAGACTTCAGATGTTTGCAATAATTTGTCTGTCTTCAGTGTTGTAATTTGTTTGGTATGGGCCCGCTGGATTTAGAAGTAAATAGTTAGCATCATTTCCTGCAGGAGAGTTTTAATGGGTTACTTATCATCTGTCTCTCAATAGAGGATCACAATAATCAGTTTAGGATCATTCCGTTGTGAATGAAAGAAAAAAAAAGTGGCTTTTAAAAGAGCATCATCGTCAAAGGAGGTAAAGGCATGAGTTCAACCTGACCTGCTGCACGATGCATTTCTCAGCTTCTGAAACACGCCGTCCCCAACGATGATATTCCACATCAAACCGTATGTAATTACCCATAATGCATCATGATGCTGACTTGCTTTGCTACCATGTGAAGGAGATGGAACTGTGGCTCTTTGAAACAGTACCAAGTACACTTTTTCTACAGTAGTCACCTTAATGTTTAACAGCAACTGAGGTTTTTTACAGTTCTCACTAGTTTCAGGAGGACTTGCTCATTCACAAAGGTGCAGCACATCCCTGTATTCCGAGCACCGATTTCCATGTGTTTCTCCCTGCAGTACTGTGCAGAGTCAGACCTACACCATGACAACCAGAACAATAAAAGTGTGCAAGTCTGTAGCAACACAGTAGACTGAGGTTGTCAAACTCGGCTCCTGGAAGGTCCAGTGTCTTTTGGTTTTATTCCACCTGAGCTGACCTAATGATTTAATTTATCACATAATTCTAAAACTTCTGCCCAGGATGTGAGATGTAAAATAGGTAACTGCAGTGCCTCCAGCAACTGAGTTTGAGATCCCTGCAGTAAAAGCAGTAGCATGTGGCCTGTTGATGGGCTAGTAACCTGGGATCAAGTCCCATTAAGATTCAGAGCAAGCAGCTTCATCACAACTGCTTCCTTTTTTTGCATGAATAAGACAAAATATCATATTACAGGAACAATTTGGGAGTATTGCAAGTAGACGATAAAGAGAGCAGAAAGACACTGTCACTCTGGACCATCTTTGCTATTTAAAAGCAACTTGACAAATACCACTTTTAAACTTTTAGGAGAAAAAATTGCCACATACTGTACCAATCTTCAGTAAATGTGTCACAGCTTTGCAAATTGGGTCAAATCCCCCCTTCAATAAAAAGTTCTCAAATCTGAAACCCGTAAAATGTCATCATAAACATTCATTCTGTCATCATTGCTTTCTGATGCCCACACATCTTTTACTTGAGGTCTTTCAACTCTGGTTTTGGAAATGGGCACCAGATCATGGGCTAATTACAGCTTATTCCAAATGTGTATTCTGCTTTGATTTTTTTCTGTATTTCTCTTGATGCTATATATGCAGTAGAACTAGGAATGCATGGTGTTTGACATAGCAATCACTTTCACTGCCACTCAGTTTAACATTAGATTTTGACTTGTTTTTAAAAAAAAACCCTAGTTAAATGATAAAAAAGGAATTCCTGTAAAAAACAAACAAAAAAGATAAAAGAAAAAAACATAACATAAAGCCATCCCGAAGGTTAGCTCCATCACCAGTTGCATTGAAACATGCAAGGGGGCGGGGTTTGTTTCTCAGTTCTGTCACAAAACCGCCCATCCACAGTGGGTGTGGCCTGCTGTCCTCTTCCAATCGACTTTAAGCCCTGGCAAAGAGACACATTTGATTGGTTCCTCATTTAGTAACATGAAGATCTTTGGAAGCTCTCATCAATCATTGGTTTGGATAAATTCAAAATGGCAGTGGGATATAATCTGGATTGTTAATGTTTGGATTCTGGAGAAATTTTCAAAACTCAGCAATGCAGTACCTGCCTTCTGCTGGGACACGTACAAAGATGTTGTTTAAATTCACGGTACCGGCTTTTTGCTGACATACCTGAACGTAGGTGGAAAATGTAACTGAACCACATGATGTGAGAAAACAAATCAGTCAGGTGAAACAGAAATTGATTAGTCCCTCTGTTCTAATGATCAATGACCTTCACATCTCTTGCTGCACTGAGGAATGCATGGGTGGAGACATCTTAATTCTTTTTGTTTTCTGATCTACCAATTTTATGGTTGAACGACTGCCTTAATGGAGGAGTACAAAGTTTACCTGGCTTAATTCAGGCTCTGTTTACAAACAGATTAGATCCACTCGTGTGAGTATTTACCTCAGATTTTCATGGGAAATAGCTCCGTGCACTTTACACAAACAATAGGACCTAACTCCCTTTGAATTCTAGCTGGCAACCACTCAGTCCTCACTAGCAGAAGACAAGAAGCATTAGCAGCCCGTAGCCTGAACTCAGAAGATAAGCAGGGAATGGGCCTGAAAAGTACTGGGATGATAGACTACTGCACAAAACCAGTTTACTGCTGTGAGCTGTACTGGTGGATTAGAGCCCCCCGGGACAGAATTGCCTAAATGAATGTGTCCCTGCTATGGTGACAGGAGACAGTGCAGAAGATTCTGTCCTTCAGATGAGATGTTAATGCATAGTCCTGGCTTCTTGTGGTCTATATAAGCGCCATGGCACTGCTCTTGTGAGTAGGGGTGTCCTGACAATCCTGCTTAATTCCATTTTGACTGGCTTGTTCAATGTGTTCTACCTGGGTATTCCCCTTAATTAAACTAGAGAAGCAATTTCTCACTTCTACGTCTGATCTGCTGTGTGGTGAAGCTAATGGCGTTCATGTTGCTCCTAGAAGGGTTATAGTTGTAATGCACTTTGAGATCCTTTGGCATGAGATGTGCAATACAAATGCAAGGAAATATTATTATTCCCAATAGCCAATAGTATTCACTGCCACCTGATTTTGGGACAATTTTATTATTAACCAGAATGATCTTAACCGTTGTATTTATGAGCATTGTGTACGACACATGCCGGCAGTTCTTCTGGAAAGAAGATTTGTCTGGATGTCTTGTTTAAATTTAATAGAAAAAATAAAACATCCACCCTCATATGAATTGTGAGCTGAGCAAGCTTTGGGATCAGCGATCGACATCACCCGTAGATTCTGCTAGTGGGACTGATGAGGAAAATGACGTCAAGCGATAAACGGTTCAGGTCTTGTTTGGCCATGTTTAAGTGTCCCTAACTGGGCAACTGAATTGGCTGAACAGACGCTAGTTGCCTATGGTATAATATGTCATACGAAGACAAATTTGTCATTAATTTCTTGCAGGTTTTCGGCACAGATTTCAGATGAGGGCAAATATATCTGCCTCTAATTGAAGGGTTATTGCGAGCTTTACAGCTCAGAGTGGACAGCGACGGCACCTTCACTGCCCTATCCCGCTCGCATCCCTTAAATGCACGGATTGGAGCTTCCAAAGAACTTCTGCTCCCACCCTGGTTTCTGGAAGAGCTTTGGTGCTCCTCAAGTGTAAGAGGAAAGTCCACTGCACATCCATCCCTGCTCCCGCGCGCCTCCTCATCCCTCAGGGCCGACAGATCTACTCCCGGCCACGCGCTCTCTCGCCGTTGTCTTGCAGGGCAGTGGCAGTTTTCGCCATCGTTCCTCCCGTCTGGGTTAAGGACTTTCAGGTGTGATAGCCAGCTTCACCCCAGCACCCTGAACTCAGTCAGTAACTATACAAGGGCTTTACAAAAAAGCTAACTTGAACAGCCATACAATGGCTAAACATAAACCATATTCTCTACCGTTCTTCTGTTTGATTTGCGTTTCCATTCTTGTGTTCGAACTCGAGTCTCGTCATCGTTCGCTCTCATCGGGCGCGCGGCCCCCTCCCCCCCCCGGCTGCTCGGGGCTAGCCGCTGTCCGAGGACGTGTGTGGGGCGGTGGAGGGCGAGCGGCGGCGGCGAGTCGGGGTCCACGAGCGCTCCGAGCCCAGGGAGGCCGGCCGGAAACGGTGAGCGAAGCCGTCCAGGAAGTCCCTCTGCTGCTGCGTTATGGCTTGGGTGAGCAGGCCGGGTAGGGCCTGCAGGCTGCCCGTGATGGAGTCCAGCTTGTCCTCCAGTGTCCCGATGCGTTTGTCCAGCTCCTCGCTGCGCTCCTGCAGCTCCGACACCAGGTCGTACATCACATTCTGCGTCTGCGAACACAAGCAGGGGTCAAAGAGCAGCCAGGCCCCAGCCTGTACTCGCAGGCTGTTAGAGAAATGACAGCCGTGCCAGATCGCATCCTCAAGGAAGCCAGACGGAAAAGCTGCCACAGACATGTCAGAGGGGCCAAACACCAAAACATTGTCCCTCTAAACAAGGTACCAAGCAATTTCTCCCAAAACTGACCGGAACGCGCCAGAATGTTAGAAGTGAGAGAATCTTTGGCACCATGGAGTGCTGACCCAGCAAAACAGGTGTGTGCCTGACAAGTTACTTGGATTTTTAAAAAATTCTTTGTTGTGGTCCTACAGCTCCATTGTGGGAAACAAATCACTTATTTCATGTAAACAAATATACCTAAAATGGGATCGATGCATCCTTTACTTTCAGAAACCAAGACACTTATTCTGATTTGAAACAATATCTCATTCCTAACCAAAAAAAAAAAACACAATGGAAACGAATACATGTTAACATCCACCCAATGATGCTGGCCAAATCTGAGAAAACAGATGTGCAGCTTAACATAAAGAGTGGGTAGCCAAGAAGTTATCTTTCCATTGATGGGATCAATGGACGTTACTTTTCCAAACTGTTAATCTGCAATTTAGAAGATGCGTTCCCTCCTTCCTTCGTTTCCTTACATTTCTCAGCAGTGGTTTCATTGACGTTTCCGCAAAGTGTCTTAGTGGGCTTTATTGATTGGCTGCAATTCCTGCTACTAGTATAACATAACAGAGGTGTTAAGTGCCATTTAACACAACTTTCAGAAGACATTTTCATTACCTCCCAACATGAACTCCTAATGTTGTGCTTCCATCCAGCAATCACACTGCGTTCAGCTATTGGATTGCAACAGCTGATAAAGCAGAATTTCATATTCTCACTGCTTAATCATCTGAATGAAAATGCCACTCCTACTACAGGATTGTTTTCCACAGGAAATGTCAGCGAACAGCTTCTATTTAATCATGATAATGGAATGCACTGTGAATGTGCAGCTAATACTATCGACCCATTTCAATAGAGGGCTAAAATAATTCATCAAATCCTATCATGAAAAGAAAATTCCCCCACAGATTGTTTTTAACCAATGGCAAAGTCCGAGCATTTCCCACGATGCCAGGTAAGGTACAGGAAGTTCCGAGCCTGAAGCTGCCACGCGACAGCTGAAGTAAAACGTGAGATAATGCAACACACCCACCTTGGCTAAGTCCACTAGCGTGTTTGCCTGGTCGTTGAGTTTCCTCTGTTCCATTTTCACGCTGCGCAGTCTGGAGAGAGGGTGGGGGTGAGGTTTGGAGGAGGGGATGGGGAGGGTGATCGGGTGATCGGGAGTGGGGGTGGGATCGGGGGGAGGGGGGGGGCAGGGAGGGGAGAGCAACACATCGCTTGTCAGGAGAGCTCTCGCCAGACACGGAGAGACCAGTCCGCATGCAAACATTCCCAGTCCAGAATGCCATACCAAACATGCAACGGCCGCAAGAGGCAAAAACCCCATCAGGGCATTCAGACATCTCACTGGTCCCATCTGCTCCCACACCCACGCAGCCTTGGTTCCTTGGCAGTGTGTGAGACAGCGTTGCAGTCTGGATGAGGTCGGAGCGGAGGCACAGTGACGAAAGCAAGGGTGAGCTAGACAGAGCAGGCTGTGGTGCCGGAGAACTGGCAGAAGCTGGGGTGGGGGGACTTGGGGGAGAAACAGCCCTAAATACAGCTGGGCTTTGACGCCCAGACGAGAACCTCTTCCGAAAGGTTTAAGATTCCCTCACAGTTGCATCCTTCTAAGCTGATTTCATATTCCTTATTATATCCTTATTCTAAGCCTGATGCTCAGCAGGTGTTTTGGATATCTCAGAAAATTCCCGCGCTCGTGTTTTTTTTCTTTAAGCTGTCGGAGCCCAGGACAGTTTGGATTCAAATTTTTTTTATTTCTCAGCTTGGGCCAAGAAGGGTCCCCATTCGACCGGCGCTGAAGAGATGGGAGACGGGGGGGAGGGGGTCCTCTGCAATATTTTTGGTGGCTTTAATGAACTGAAGCCAAAAGGGAGGTGAAAAGAAGAAGCACAGGGATGGTGTGGAGGAGAATTAAGAAGGTTGAAGGTATTAAACAACGAACAGGTTCGGTCTAATAAAGAATTTACACACTGAATGCTGCACATTGGATGCTGCAGGTCTAAAGGATGCTGCACATTGGTGCTGGTGGGGATCCCCATTACCTGTAAAGTGCTTTGAGTGGAGTGTCCAGAAAAGCACTAGATAAGTGTAAGGAATTATTTTTATTATCATATTATTATTAACTACTACTACCGTTACTGTTACTGCTGCTACTGAAGGATAAGCCCTGTAGTCAAAGAGAATCCACCTGTCCATTTAAGGGTATAAATCATGCTATATCCCAAACAAAGAGAGAATAAGGGATAAATCCTGTTGTATACTGGGGAATTGTATATAGACACTTATACAGTTTATGTGTTTAATTTAAAAGTTTTATAGCAATTAGGGAGCATAGGTAGAATGTAACAGCATTAGAGCCCAAGGGTAAGTGAAGTATGTCAACCTCTCCACACCTGACTTTATGGATTTGAGACCCATTGCACCAAACAAGCTTTTTAAAACCAAAGGGCATCTTCTGGATATCACTGGCTTGTTTTTATTCAATACACTCTCTTAACACCTCCCAAAATTCTGTGCAGACTTCTTAGTCTGGTTGTGGCTTAGGCTGCGTTTCTCTCAAATCAAAACTAAACTGATAATAACATTTGATGATAAAGACTTTTGTAGTCCTTCAATGACACGACACATGGCTAACCAACAACAAAATCTAAACCAAAATGCCCTTTCTCCTGAAAAAGTGCACACTCCTGTCATTCATGCGAGGGATATACTCGTTAACCAGTACCGCGAGCAGAATGAGACACACCTGTCAGATCTAATTGGACATTTACATTAAACCCTCATTGCTTAACTAAAAGAGATGGAGAAAACGAACCTGTTTAACTACATTAACTACTCACAGGCTGTCAATACTTGGGATAGAGTGGCTAAGGCAGTTTGGATCAACAGGAGATTCCAAGACGTGGCAATTAATTAAACCTATCAATCTTGCTCGCTAATTGTTATTGCCCATTTCTGATCAATTTGGCTTTTGCTTCAACCACCAGGTCCATTTCTAAACTGATGTACCTGTTTTTCACAAACATAAGTTTACATTGGTGCTCAGGTGAGCGTGATGCACAGAATTCTGGAAGGTATTTTTGTCGTGACATGGCTAAGAGGTGACTTTAGCAGACTATTTTTAATGTCTGCACAGGGCTCAACCCAGGCCTGTGGCACACATGGTACACTTCTGTTAAAGAAGAAATCTCCTTGCCAACTTCCTTACAAGTTGTCACAGTCACCCAATGTGGCATTCAACACTACAATCACTCGAAATGTTTCTCCTTCCATCCGTTTTCTGAGCGCTATTCCAATCCAGGGTCATAGGGGAGCCAGAGCCTATCCCAGCAAGTGAGAGGCACAGGGCACACCCTGGACAGGACACCAGTCCATCACAGGGCAGACAAATTCACACCTGGGACAATTAACTGTCCAGGAAATAATGTGAGAGGAAATAAGAGCACCCAGAGGAAACCCACGCAAACTCAGGGAGAACATGCAAGCTCCACACAGACAGCACCCCAGGTCTGGAATTGAACCCGGGGCTCCAGCTCTGAGGCAGCAATGCTCACCACTGCAGCCCTCTGAAAAACATGCACGCAGTGCAAGTTGCTGGTTTTTTTTTTGGCACGCTTTTAGTTTAGAAAAATATTATGAATCATATTCAGTAATATTCTTCTGACTGGGAAAAGAGCCAACAAACAGGTCTGAAGTGCTGCTTTGGGGCTCCGTCAGTGATATCATCTGACATCAGGGGTTGTTGGAACTCCACACCGAAGTTTGAATTTCTTATACATGTTTTTTTACCCGATGAAATTTAACTCCCCAAACACTAAATTATTATATTACAAATCAGTGCACAGATATTATAATACACACTTAAATAGTAAAGTTCACCAATGTTGCCAAAGGTTTTGTTGACATATGCAGTGGATTTGTTTAGTAAAGGGTAGTTTTATGAGTAACTGGACTGTAAAACTGTAGTTAATTGGGCTGTATTGCAGGTTTGGGAGAGGTCAAGGGACTGTATTCTACTTCCTGGGGTCACTGTAGCCAATTCTGCCAGCGCGCCTGCCCACCCGACCCAGACTCAGTAAAGCCATGGAGGACAGGAAAACAGGAAAACAAAACAGGACAACGACACACAGACAACTGAAATGTCCCGTGATCTTAAGACATTGGGTTTTTATGGACAGGGGTTTGTGTCTTTGCCGCCCTTCATTTCTGTCTTTGCTGTCTGCCTTCAAGCGAGCAATTCATGTCACTGTGATGTATCTGGTCCTGATCCAATGAGCTCCACTAACACTGGTGATCGATTCCTTAAAAACAGACCCTGACCCTGGAATTTCTATACACCCATGCCCTGGGTTGCACAAGATTTCTGTTCAGCAAGTCTTTACACAGCCCAGATTGTACACATGTTGCAAGCAGCCCATTCTTAGCCTCTGTGTGAACACATATAGAGAGTCACCCCTCATAGCATAGCAGAGATCCCCCATTATTTATTATTATGGGGTTTATTGTGCTTTAACGGTTAATGGGCTATGACAGAAGGAGATAGACGGATAAAAGGAAACTTCCCTTTTTATATAAGGGGAGAAATTAATTAACGATGAATGAAAAAAAGCCTATTATTACACACCAAATATGGTATACAATTAAATAATATAGAGTACAGTAGATTAAAGAAGGGAAAATACCTTTTAATGAATTTATGAATACTATACATTACTGTATAGCATTGTGCCGTTAAGTAATTAAATACAAAATACTGTATAATACAGAGTAAATAATAAAATCACTTGGGTGCTTCCCCAATACGATTGTAATACTCACAATTTTCAGTGAAAAAGCACAAAGATGATATGCAGAGGTCACCACATATGCACAAGAGCAAGTGAGACCGGGTGTGAAACAGAGCTCTGTGATTGCTCGTGACATTAAGGTCACTCCGGACAGGACCTCTCTAGGAAACTTTACATAAATGTTAATAAAGTTTTATGATGGAACCCATGGCAGATTTTTATGTAAAGAGGAATTTATATAATTTGAGTCTTGCATAACCTGAGGAGAGGGTGTATAGGGAATATATACTGTAATTCTGCATTGCACCAGCTATTTCATGAAGCAATTCTTATTAGAAACCTTTATAAAACAATTTTAACACTACAGCACAAATACAGTTTGTAAGGAAACAAGTGGTAGAATCAATTAGATATAGGCATAAAAGGAGTGTTTTTCCAGAACTGTGAATTTGGTAGGTTGCTCCCTGAAATCTGTGAGGAACAGACCATGTTGAATTATGTTTACCATTAACAAACCCATTTTGAATGAGATTTTAAAAGCTTTAAAAGGTTTGGAAGAAAACTCCAGACACATACATTTGTAATTAAGAAGAAATATAGAATCTGAACTGGGACAACACTTTAAGGACACACCTTTTCTACTGCTCGCCCATGGCTGCAAACTGATTTATGATCCTGAATGTTGATACTGGAGGAATGGTTATGAGTGCTCGGGCTTCTGTCTGCCTCTACATTACACCATATCTACTTATGGTACCAAATATGTCGTTCTTTTTTAAAATTAAGGGTGCATTCACACTTAAAACTAAAGTCTGGATTAAATAAAAACCTAGACCTACCCGTCTGTCTCTGAATGAGTGCCAATAATTGGAGAAGGGATTCTATCAAAGCAAGAAACGTCTTTGAAGTGAACAAAAAATATTTTTTTATACAGCTGCTTATTTTGGAATCCCCAATTGTTGGAATTGTGGCTGGATATATTGAAAGGTGCACAGTGCCCGACAGCTGAGGTTCCACCGATTGGAGGAGCAGTGCATCTCTCACTGAGGTCAGTGCAAGTCTGGCCAATCACAGGAGTCTAGGGAGCACTGGATGACTTACATCGCAGTTCTATCCTGACAGCGATCTGCTAACTGCATACTGTCATCTCAGTCCCAGTCAGCTAGTGATGTTCAACTGGTACAGCAAAGGTTTGATTTAATAATGGCCTACAATATATCTTTAGAGCAATTTATAGCTACTCAAAGTCAAAATTCTAAATACTGAATCACACCTCGGGAGTTCACCCACAAATATACATACCTTTTATC